GAATTTTTTTTAAACATATAGTATGAAAGTTACCTTAACTGCAAGATTGAAGCTAGAAATTGAAAGAAACTGCTACTATTTCCAAGTTTAAAAATATACCTTGCAAGAAAAATATATCTTTAATTACTAAAGTACAATATTTAGTGTTATTAACATACAAAATTTTAACAAATGATTAATAGTGATATAAGATCAATGTCACTATTAATATTATATTATTAATACTAAGCTTTATTAAAAATGAACTTAAGTAAAACATTTACAATTTCAGCTCCGTGAACTTGATTCGACAAACACAGCTTGAAAGATGAAATTTTAAGCTTTATATTCGAGAAGTTAGTATAGATTAAAAAAAAAAAATCCATAGATTAAAGAAGAAAAAGATGAATTAAGTAGTTAATTTTACTGAGGAAGAGAGGAAGAACTACTTAACTCCAGGTTTCTTAGATGCTTGATCTTCGCTTCTAGCTAAGCTTTAGAAATGTATGCTTTCCGGATCTGTACTAAAACAAGAGTATAGATGAAGTTTGTTGAAATGCAAAGATAGAGAGAGAGAGAGAGAGATAGACGACAGATGAATGATGAGGATGAATTCAGCGTTTCAAAGAGAGAGAGAGAGAGATGCGAGCGATGACTGATGAGGAAGCGTTTCTAGAGAATTCTAATAAATTGATTGTTTTATTTTTTTGGGCTTTATTTATTTATATAATAAATTTATTTGTTTATATATATATATATATATATATATATATATATATATATATATATATATATATATATATATAAAAGTAAGGTAAATATATAGAATTAAATATATTTGATTAAAAATAAATAAATATGCAATGCTTTATATATTTATATGGTTAAAAATATATATGGGCTATAACTCGCTAACAGAGAATCGTTGTCTAAGAGGGTTACCATCAGAGGTTGAAATACAAGAGATTAAGAAGTTTGCACGTTGGATTGCTAATATTGGTGATGAAGTGGTTGTTAATTAGGTACATATTTGGACTTTGGTGATCCAATATATTCATGTGAGCATTGTGGTGCTTTGTTTTGGATGGAAGAAAGAATCAACAAAATTATGGGTACTTCAAGACCAAAGTATTCACTTTGTTGTACTCACGGAAAGATAGAGTTGCATCCTACAACAATTCCGCCGGCCGCAATATTTGCATTTTTTTTTTTTAATGATGACGGATAAGAGTAGTCATTTCTTGCAGAATATTGGGTCTTACATGTAGCACTTATAATATATATATATATATATATATATATATATATATATATATATATATATATATATATATATGTTGCAATTATAATATATATTGAACTATTTAACTAGAAAATAAAAGTACTTTAACATATAAAATCTTTTCAAATAAATAATATTTACATAACATATTCATACTTAAAAATGAAAAAGACTTAAGAATTGTTAATAACATAACAATAATATTTATAATTTTTAGTGCGTGCATCGCACGGGTGAAATACTAGTTCTTACAATAGAAAGAATGAATGATAGACGATCCTAATTTTGAGAAATATTTAGGACTGGGAAGAAATAAGGCAACTGCTTTTGCCTTTATTGAAGATAAAATAAAGCACAGAATTGGGTCTTGGAACAAGAAATTACTCTCGCAGGCAAGTAAGGAAATTCTCCTGAAAAGTGTGGCTCAATCTATGCCTTACCTTTTCTATGAGTGTTTTTTTACTTCCTATCTCTACTTGTATGTCTTTGGAAAGAACAATGAATAGTACTGGTGGGGTTCTGGCAATGATAGGGGATTCATTGGAAGGCCTGAGACAAGTTGTGTGTTCCTAAAAAATTTGGAGGACTGGGATTCAAGGATCTTCGTTCTTTTAATCTGGCTATGCTAGGGAAGCAGGCGTGACGCTTTTTGACTGCTCCGGAATCTCTTGATGCTAAGTTTTATAAGGCCTGCTATTTTCGGGGATCCACTTTTTTTTGAGGCGAGTTTAGGAAATTGTCCTAGCTTCTGCTGGCGCAGTATCATGGCAGCACATGCTTTAGTTTGTGGTGGTGTAAGAAGGAGAATTGATAATGGTAAGACCACTCTGATTTGGTAACACCCATGGTTACCTGATGAGCCAAGTCCTATGGCCCAAACTAATATGCCTGATGAGCTAAGGGGTGTTTTGGTTTCAGGGTTAATTGATCCGGATACTGGAACCTGGGATACTCATATTTTATCAGATATATTGGACCCGCAGGATGTGGATCGTATTGTTCGAATCCCGGTAAGCCTGGATTATGATGATACTTGGTTTTGGCATAAGGACCCTAGGGGTTGTTATACGGTTAAAGGAGGCTATAGGCACATTGTTGGGAATTTTGAGAGTGCCCCAGCCAAGAGCTTTTGATAATTGGATAGCTATTTGGAAATTACAAGTTCCCCAGAAATGGAAGACCTTTGTTTGGAGAGCTCTCAAGGACATTATACCCACTACGATGAGTTTAATTATAAAGAGGGTGGACATTGATCCCGCATGTCCCAAATGTAGCCTAGAATAACATGAAGACACTATGCATGCATTTTTATTATGTGATTTTGCTAAGTTGGTTTGGCATGAGGCTGTCGTGCCTAGCATGTCCTTAGCTGCTGCATCTTTTTCTGATTGGATGCGAAATATTTTACACTCTCACCCTAAGGAGTTTGTGGAAATTGTTGTGGCAATTCTTTATTACCTATGGAGAGCTCGGAACCAGGCTGTTTGGGAGTATTCATTACCGCCGCCGAGCACTGTTTGGAGGCAGGCCTCTTCGGCTTTGACCGGCTGGAAGCAGGTTCACCGGGGCAATCGGCAGCAGCAGGCAGTAGTTGCTACGGTGCAGCCTTCAACGCACTCCAAGTGCTACTTCGATGCAAACTACGACCATGCCACCGGCGCGACGTCTTTTGGGGCGGTGCTCCTTGCACACGATGGTCGCTTCGTAGCGGCATGTAACAGCAAATTACCGGCTTGCTTCTTCCCGCTAATGGCTGAATCACTGGCCTATAAAGAAGCACTATCTTGGTTGAAGGACCGGGAAGTGGCGATGGTTGATCTATTCACAGATTGTTTAGAGCTACGTATCAGTCTACAAGTGACTCATGCCCCGACTTTGTCCTATTTCGGGATTATTATTACTGATATTAAAGCTGCTATGTCTTCGTTTCATTATTGTTCAGTTAGTTTGGTTTCTAGAGCTTTGAATTTACATGCTCATACTCTTGCTACATAGCCTGTGCTCAGGCTACTCCGCTGTATTGGGACTCTGTTCCCCCAGACTCTATTGTTGCTTTCATTCATTAATATATTGCAACCATTATTTTTCAAAGAAAGAATGATGGGCGATCCTCTTTCCTCCCTTGTCTATTCTGGATATTCTTTCAACAATAAAAAATTAAAATGTTATATATGAATATTAAGAGGTCGAATTAATTTTGACCCAAAAAATTGCAATTAAAAACCCAAACTAAAATCCTAACTATTTACAAGATTTAATTTCATTTTTGGTCCTATATTTATAATTGTCAGATTACTTTTAATTCTTTTTTTCAAAACATTCTCATTTGGTTCAAGTATTATTGTGACATGACCATATTTGGTCCTCCATCAACAAAATCGTTTAAATTTAGTCTTTTCAATAATTCTTTTTACATTTTTGTACCTTCCAATGCATATTGTTGTGCATTCTAGAGAACATTGTTATGCCTTCCAGTGCATAATGCTATAGATCGTAGGTGGCGATTTTTATTTTTTATTTTAAAGAAAAGTTGATCTAAGGCTGAGATTCATCCGCATATTTCACTTGCAGCCTTCACCGCCCCAGAGCCTAAGCATATATATATATATATATATATATATATATATATATATATATATATATATATATATATATATATATATATATATATATAATTACATTCATGTAAAAGCAGGGGCTTAAAATACAAACGTGTGGACATTTATGGATCGTTGGATTTTGGGTATCTAAGGTTGTGATTAGTTTTTATGATTTAGTGTGTTGCCCGCCTATGTGCACTATCGTTCATGGATATGTGCACGCCGGCCCAAATACTGTGGATTCACACATGCATACTACATTGTATCTGTGCATTGTCGTCCACGGATGTGTGCATACCCGCATTTAGGTGTGTGCACGGTATATGTCTACATGTTTATATTCTAAGGGTGCTTGCATGTGAATGCAACCCTATATATATACATATACATATATATACATATACATATACATATACATATACATATACAAATATATATATATATATATATATATATATATATATATATATATATATATATATATATATATATATATATATGTATGTATATGTATATATATATAGGGTCAGGTTCCTGTGAGGTCAGGTCTTCCCGTGCGGTCAGTGCGGCATACACAATTAGGTATGCATAAATGCACCACACAGTGTTCGTAAATACACCATTATGTGTGGTGTATTTTTTTTGTGTGGTGTATTTTTTGACATTTCATTCTGGTGTATTTTTGAACACTGTATGGTGCATTTATGCATACCTAATGGTGTATGCCGCACTGACCGCATGGGAAGACTTGACCTCACAGGAACCAAAATCTATATATATATATATATATATATATATATATATATATATATATATATATATATATATATATATATATATATATATATATATATATATATATATATATATAGAGGAAATTTCAATTTTGGTCCTATGACTATAGTGGTCCTGTTAATTGCAGTCCATGATTTTTAAAAGTGTTAATTTAGTACCTTGACTATGCAATTTTTTATCATTTTTGGTCACTTCTACCAAATTTAGCAGGAAAAACTTAATTCATCAATTAGTGTGTAATTTGAGGGGCAAAACTTAAGCAAAGTTAGTTTTTAACCCTTGAGGTAATCGTACTTGATTCGAATGATCGCAATGAACAACGACATCATGAAGAATCTGACGACCTAGACGTTAAATCTCCTGAGTTTTTCGATGAAGAAGACGGGGAACCAGTAGCCTGTGAAAGTCTCGAACAGGGCAATCACGAACATGGAGCTTGAAACCTGGAACATTTCCTTTTTTCGAGGAAGAAGACGACGAACGAGTAGCCGGGGAAAGTCCTGAACAGGGCAATCACGAACATGGCGCGTGAAACCTGGAACATTTCTTTCAACGCGCCCACTTCTTTCGGGGGCTTCCATTGTGCGCATCACTGGAACGATATCTTTTTGGGTGAGATTTTGGCTGTAGTAAGTGATATCCAGTAAAAACCACGTGCTCATCGTTCCGATCAAGTGAAGGCCTTGGCATTGCCAGAGCTCGTTGGAAAATAGTTTGTAGCTATTAGCCGCCTTGAACTCTGACGAATGGAGAAAAATACTGGCAAGAATCAGGGAGACAAGACTGCCGAAGATGATCCTCACGCCTTGCATAGCGAAAACCGCCGCAATGAAGGCGCCTCGGGTTTTCTTGTTGGCGTACTCCGACATGATGGTGGCAGAGAGAGGATAGTCGCCATTAATCCCAAAGCCCAGCCAGAACCGGAATAAACAGAGTGTTCCGATCATGGTGGTAGGGCTGAAGCCCAAGGAAAGGCCGAAGTAGATGGCGCAGATAACCATGAGAATAAGTGTAATCCCCTAGACTTTTTTCCGGCCGAGCTTATCACCCAGACAACGGAACACAAGCTGGCCGAAAAGTGTGCCGACGAGAGCCACTCCGATGACTGTATTATTAGCGAAAGGAGAGAGCTTCCCGGGGTCGCTTCCCCTGTAGAAATACAACCAGACAAAAACTGAATACCAAAATTGAAATTTGCTTAATTGGGACAACAATTCAAAAGACGATTATGCCCCTCATATTAAAAACTAATTGGTGAATTAAGCTTTTCCGATGAAATTTGGCCGGAATGACCAAAATTGATAAAAATTACATAGTCAAGGTACTAAATTAACATTTTTAAAAGTCGTGGGCTGATATATATATATATATATATATATATATATATATATATATATATATATATATATATATATATATATATATATATATATATATATATATATATATATATATATATATATATATATATATATATATATATATATATATATATATGGGCGCACTCTCATGTGAACGGCCGCCCAAGAGAGAACTGAGAACCATCCAACGCACGCCACGTGTCCTTTGGTGCATGTAAATGTGTTATATGTACAAGTAGTTGGTGTACCGTTGCAAGTAAAAATTCCAGGTAAAATCACTTACAAGTGCACATACTTTCACTTACAATTGCATGCAATTTTACCTTGTTAACATTCATGCACCTAGATGCAACTACTTATAATTATAAATGCACCTAGGTGCACCTACTTATAACTATAAGTGCACTTAGATCTGGATGGTTCTCAGTTCTCTCCTAGGCGGGCATTTCGCACTTGAACGCGATCTTCTATATTTGTATGACGGCACATTAGTCTTCTTTTAACCCATACGAATGCGTGTAATTAGAGGCGTATTCCTAAGGGCATCTTCAATAGTGTGAAGATTTTGAGGGGATTTTACAAGTGTAATTAGGAAAGAGAAAATGAGAGGGGAGGAAAAAAAAAAAAAAAATTACGGGCCAGCCTGAGCGCGAGAATTGCGCCTCACGCGCGTGAGGCGCAGCATTCTCTTCCACAGAGGGATGCACTATTTCTGCAAAATCTCCACTCTTGCAAGACCACCCCACCCTTTCTCTCTCCCCCCTTCTCTTTCCTCCACCTCACCCATAATTTCTCAAAATCTGGTCCAAAATCCCCCTTTTGGGGATGCGAAGCTTCTGTTTCCATTCTTGTGCATCCTCCTAATCCTCCGCGACTACTTCTCTTTGTTCGTCCTCTGCTTTGGCTGCTTATCCTCTGAAACTACGCTAAGCAGATGAATAGTAGCTATTTTTGGACAGATTAATGGCGGGGGAATCAGCACTTTGCTGGTCGAAAAGGCGTCTGTTGGTGCAACCAGTCGTACGATGTAACTAGTCTTTTATTTGCTTGCTGTGCATTGCACTGTGCTCTAAAAGTTGTGCATTAGCAGACTATTGGTGCAAGTGTGAGACCACTGCTGTGCATTTATTGCGGAATTATTGTGCACCCTTCCCATAACTGCTGTGCATTCCAAACTACTGCGCTTATGTTCCTACACTGTTGAACCTCTATTGTGCATTTTGAAAATTAGAGTACACTCTATTAGGCTGATTAAATTGCCTTAGCTTGTGTTGCTAGCCTTACATTGAAATGACCCCCTTGCCCCCTTTCGTTTAGTTTCATAAACAGCGGTGCATTAATGAAATTAAATTTCAACCATCAGATCTTGCCAATTTAGCTATCCAGATTGATTCGAGGTCTTCACTTCAACCAACCCCTATATATATAAATATATACACATGTGTAAGTGTATTTTATTGCATAAACATATATTTATTTTATATATGATGATAGTGATAGATATTAAGATAATTGTAAAATTTGAACCAAATAAGATAATATAAAATTACCATGTTCATAGTGTTGGTTTTAGTTTTTTTGGGTCCAGGGAGATCCAACACAACCTTGGTTGGTGGATTCACCTTTCAACAAAGCTTTAACGAAAATGGAAAGGAATGAATAAAAATGGAAAAGTGTTTCTCTATTCTCTGGGCTTGGATTCGCCTCCCCTTCACACTCTCGGAGGGGCCTTTATATAGGTGCCTCCCCTTTAATCTGACTTTAAGTACATTTAAGGGGTCTTAAGTGCTATTTACGCTCATGGTTGCAGTAGGCGCTAGGCGCTAGTCGGGCGGCCGGGCAGCGCCTAGCGCCTAGGCGGATTCTAGGCGGCACTAGGCGGGCACCAAAAAAAAATTAAAAAAATAGTAACAGACTTGTAGTTCGACAATTTTAATGAGGTTGTTTTCAACGTTCACTCAAATAACACATCTAAATAAATGAAATAATGATAATTTATAAGTCATAATGTCATAATAATATTAAAATCAATAATTAATGAAAGACGACATCGGTCAAAATCGAACAAAATCGGTCAAAATCGGTCAAAATCAGTCAAAATCGGTCGACTCGGCCGAGTTGGCCGAGTTTGGCCGCCCAGGCCGCCTAGCAGCCGCCCAGGCCGCCTAGGCGGCCAGCCGAGTTTGGCCAAAACTCCAAGGCTCGGGGCCGCCTAGTGCCTAGGCGGCCGAGTTTTGCAACCTTGTTTACGCTACAGGGCCGTTGGGTTGCTGTTACTGGGCTTCCCAACGGCTCCTTTGACTGAGCTCTTCAATATCACCATAAATGCCATGGCTCTTTACCGATCTTGGCTGAGTCCCAGTCCTATCCTCAAGCTCGGGTCGACTCTTGGACTCGGCCTTAGTCTCTTCTGGGCCTTGTTACTTATTCGGGTTCCTCACCTTGAACTGTATGCTATTCTTCTTGGGTTTTTTCATCCTTTTTGGACTTCCCCCTCTCTCTTGGGTTTCTCCTTTTGTACTTCTTCTTCGGCCGAGGTTCACACCCCATCACATAGTAATCAGAAATGACTTGAACCACATATTCCTTTAAATTTTATTCTTAATTTGTTTTTTTGTGAGCCAAATGTCGATTAGTTGCAACATGTATGGATGGCATCTGAAATATGGGATTCTCTCCGCAAGTGCACGGCACTAGGCGATTTGACTTTTTGTTATCATTATTATTATTATTATTCTTATTGGATTTCGTATCCATTTTGTACAGTTTCTCTATTGTGGTCTCTGATAGGCATGTGTAATAAATAAATAAATAAATGATTTAACCGAAAATGGATCTTTATTTGGCGATGGAATCAAAGATAAAACAGCATATTCCTTTGTCTTCAGGCTTAACGCCATTCGGCACCTCACTAGATGCCATGTGAAGCATTCTGGCGGAGTTAGTACGGTTAGAGATGGTGTGTGATTGTTGTGATACCTAATTCTATTGGCAAAAATTTGTGTGAAATATACTAAAAATGTAATATTAAATTATTAATACTGAAAAATGTAATATTAATTCAGAATAAAGTGTTTATGGTTTATAAGGAGAATGTAATACTTTTTTAACAAATATAAAACTTTTATATTTTGATTCAAAATTATTACATTTTTTCTAAAAAGTGTTACATTTGTCCTTATAAATAGCAAACACTTTATTATTAAACATAAGGATTCAATCATTGACTTTGAATATAGAATAGTCTTAAATCTCTAAACCAGTTATCCCACCCATTAAAAGTATCTATAATTCAATGAGGAGATTAGTTAATATGTCTAACCGTATGAATTAATATTACATTGTTCAGTATAAGTATTATGTTAGACATATTGACTTGACTCGTGTCAGATCCTTATCCTTATCAGTGAGATGGTCTCCATGAGAGTCGGTCATTTCTATCTCGTTCGCACATTGTAGTCTAATTTTAGAAAAAAAAAATAATATGAACATCTGGAATACAACAGCTAGACAAAGAGCCATTATATAATGGTGTAATGGTCCTCCAGGCTCCACCACTCCCAAATTAAACCTCTTCAACCATGTTTCAAGATTTGATCAAAGCACTCCATGATTCTTTGCAGGCTGCAACGTTCAGCTATGCCCTCGCCTTGCTGGGGGCTCTGTGGTTTGCTTGGATGTTCATCTTCAAGAAGTCTGGAAATGGGCAGCCGCCATTGCCGCCAGGTCCCAGACCTCTCCCCTTAGTTGGGAACCTGTTGTCTCTAGACCCTGAGCTCCACACCTATTTTGCAGCCTTGTCTAAGGTCCATGGCCCCATCTACACACTCTGGCTTGGCAAGAAGCCCGGGATTATCATCAGCTCGCCCGCCATGGCTAGCGAGGTGCTAAAGGATCAAGACACCACCTTTGCAAACCGAGACGTTCCTGTTGTGGGAAGGGAAGCCACCTATGGCGGCAAGGATATCGTGTGGACACCGTATGGACCTGAATGGAGGATGCTGAGGAAGGTATGTGTACGCGAAATGCTTAGCAATTCAACTCTAGACTCTGTTTATGATCTCAGGCGCCAAGAAATTAGACAAACTATGAAGTTTTTCTACGATCATGCTGGGAGAACGGTGAATATTGGTGAGCAGATGTTCTTGACTATCCTTAATGTGATTACAGGCATGATGTGGGGTGGAACTGTGAAGGGGAAGGAAAGAGAAATTCTTGGGTCAGAGTTTAGGGAGATTGTGGCAGAGATGACAGAGCTATTAGGTCTCCCTAATGTTTCTGATTTTTATCCTGGATTGGCTAAGTTTGACTTGCAAGGGATGCAGGGAAAGATGAAGAAAGTGGCAGGTAAATTGGACAAGATTTTTCAGGGTGTAATTGATCAGAGATTGAAAATGGATGAGAAGGAGAGCAAAGACTTTCTGCAGGTTCTGCTTCAGCTCAAAGATGAAGGAGATGAGAAAACTCCTTTCACCATCACTCATCTCAAATCCTTACTCATGGTAAGTTCATTCAATTTCAAGCCTTCTACATGTTACCAGCCTCTGCCTAATAATTCCTCAGCACTAGCTAGTTGTAACAGCTTTTGCTTGAATCAAACCTTTGACAGGATCAAGTGTTTACCACTAAGCCAAAAGCTA